TTCATGAGGGACAGATCTGCAATTCCAGGAAAATACAGGCCCGGTACTAACCGAATCCCTACAGCTACCCTAACTGCCTATAGCAGGCCCGGGCTACCCCTAGGACAGACAGGCCCTAAGCGGCCTATACTGCTATACGGTCCTATAGCCTATAGCCGGGTCCGGTAGAGGCCTAGAGGCCGAAACAGCAGCGGTACCGGTAGGTCCAGTCAGTCCAGTCTAGGTCTAGGTTAGAGTAGGAAGTCTATAAGTCCGGTAGGGAAATCAGGTAGGGACGATTGGCAATTCATTTTCGCATGCAGCGTTCGTGGCCAACCAAGTTTTGCTACGCTGAATGTCTACAGCGGCACCTGAGACCTCAGCGGTGTGAGGCAGCCATAGCCAGCCCACCTGAGACAGCCATAGCTGGGGCTGTGCTCAGCGCATCTATCCCCTGGGGATACCTGCGCCTGGCAGGACTATACAGAGGCTCTTCACTGGGTACATGTGGGTACTGCTGCTGCGGTAGCAGCCAGGCAGCCATCGCTGCCTTCCTCATCGTCAGAGTGACTCATCGGCACTGAGGACTACTTCGCTATTCATGATCTGCATCTGGGGGTATGGCGCTGGCCTCTGGGAGGCTGCTTCAGTGCAGCGCCAGACTCTGATAGCGTAGTAGTGAGTGGAGTGTGTGGTACTGAGGTGGCGAGATACTAGGTTGAACTCTAGAACGATAATTGAGGTGAACTGAGTTGAGTTGGCTCATCATCTGTGTTACATTCCGATTGTGATCTTCGCAGTGTCATCTTGTGATTGGTTGTTGGGAGTTCTTCAGAGAGAGAGAAACACTGTGTGTATTCTCCCCATCTGTGCATGGTTGATATTCCGCTGCTTWTCTCTGGTCTGTGTGCAGGTGGACTCTGTCTCTTCCTCCCCTTTGTCTCATGCATGTATGGGCGTGTGTGAGTTCTTCTGTGTGTGAGTGGCAATCAAATTGTCAGACAACCAAGTTCATAACAGTTGGTATCGGAGCGAAGATTGGACTTGGAGCTCAAAGGGTTGAGCGCAACAGGGGCAGCTTCTCCTTCTGGCCCTAACTGGCGAAAAGTGCCATGGTGGTTCTCCATCTTCAGTAAAGATCCAGTGAAGGAGAAGACCTACAAGCGGTGATTGCAAAGCATCAGGGTGCGAGTGATCAGGCACCCTGAGCCTGTCTGAGTGCCTGACAACAAGTGGCGAGAACAGGGGTATTTCGCCATCCACCCTTCTGACCTCAGTTGATGACTGGGATCAGGGTGGCGAATTACCCCCTAATCCAGTAATAACTGGGTGGCGGCTTTAATCCCAGTATAGCGCTGAGGGAGGATTGATCGCAGGATCACCTCCTGCTAAATTAACCCTATTCAGGGCTAAATTTAGCACCAGCGGCTTACCCCTGCAGTGGCGAGATATCTTCATGAGAGTTTTCTCTCGCCACGGAGGCAGATCCAGTGAATCTGAGAGTTGGGGGTTAATCGCCACATCCTACTGGACAGGATCACCAAGTTTCAAGAGATTCTATGCGTGGGAAGTTGTGGAAGAGTGTCTGCAAGTACTGGCGAGACCAGGGTCTACCAGCCATAGCCAGAGCTTCAGCAACCACTGAGTGAAATACTTCAAGTGAGTGTGTTCCATGTGAATCCCTGAGTAGCGATTAGATTAGTATCAGTAAAAATAGAATTGATGGTCTGTCTGTCAGTAGAGTCACAATCGTGAAATTGTCAGACTGCAAGACAGCCATAGCCATCTTCTTCCTCCCTACCCTGACTCATATCTCATCACCTACTGACCTGTTCTGACTCAAATTTGTTCTGGGACTGTATGACAGTATTGCGCTGCACCCTGTGTGATATCCTGTGAATTCTGTGTAGGAAAAGTAGTGATACTGTGGATTTGAGTTTTGCGTTGAGTCTATTTATAGTTTGTGCTATCTAGGGTCAGTCACAACTCAAAATCTGTCCGTCAGAATTCAAGTCTGTCAGTCTGGGGTGAATCGCAATTCAATTCCTGTCATCCATGTTGAAGCGCTAGCCCAGAAACAGTGTATTTGGGCCATTACAGGGAAAAACTGAAATTCTAGGGGGTATTTCTGTTGATGTCAACAGTGGCGAAATTTGAGTTTAGGGTTGTCAGGGGGTAGTTTACTGCATCGCTACTACTTGTTGTGCTGTTTCAGTTAATTCTTGCCTGTATCCATCATCACCACTAATCTTCTTTGCTTTCTAATGGGCTCTAGAATGCTAGTGACCTCTAGAATGCTGTGAAAGTGCATGTTGCAACTTCAGTGAAAGTTCATTGTCAGCCTGTCAGGTATAGGAAACCGTTAGTGCATGGTTTTACTGGACATCCAGTCAGCCTGATTACTGACCCCAGTGGTTCTATTCCAACCCTAACCGTTTGTGCCCACTGACCCACATTACTCTGTCAACTGACAGTGCAGCGAATTTTGAGTGTCTGAGGGAGCTGTAAATCGCTGCAACCCCCTGCTGTCTCACCTTGTTCTTCTGTGTTTTGAGAGGGAAAATGTCTAACACCGCTGACACAGGTGCAGGGCAGGTKGAGGTAGTGGTTAAGGATGAGGGTCAAGCCTCACCCTCAACTCCTCCTCCCCCTCCTCTGACCCCTGCGCAGCGGCGCAAGAGAGAGATCCAAGAGAAACTGCGAGAGCAACAGGYGCTGCTCGCAGAGGCAGAGAGACAAGAGGCTGCCGAAATGGAAACTACAACAGATGCTTCCAGAAAGGAGCATCCGCTGCAACAGGCTGAGAAGGCTGTTGCAGATAACCGGGTGGCCCAGTGTACTAGGGACCTGGCTGAGCTGATAATTCTGCAGGACAAACTTACAGCCAGCCACTTCACTAACTGGGATGAGAGGATCCAGCGGTTGGAGACCAGAGTGGCTACTCTCGGAACTCAGCAGTCTAAGATCCTGGACTCCATCCAGAATCTGACTGCTCAGTTAACAGCAGCCAACGTCATCAGTCCCCTGGTCCCTGTGGTCCCCTCTCCAAAGCCCAAGAAGCCTTCTCAGCCCCCTTCTCCACCTCCTTCGCCTTCTTGATCTCCTCACCCTTCTCGCAAGTCTTCTCCCTTTGTCACCTCCCAGGCCAAAGCCACGCCTCCTCTCACCTTTGCTGCTGTTGTTGCTGGGGACCAGCGAGGCCCCAAGATCCCTGCCCCCAGCAAATTCAAGGGGGATGACCCCAAGGTTGACGTTGGGGACTGGGCAGCTGGAACCCGGGCATATCTCAAGGGGTTCCAGTGCCCAGAACAGCAAAAGGTGGCAACGGTCGTGGGGCTGCTGGAGGGGCCAGCCCAGAAATGGGCTACCTCTACAGCAAGCGCCCAGCAGCAGACTTTGGAGGACTGGGCCTCGGCACTGGGCGCTGATAAACTTTTGCAGGCCCTGGAGGATAGATTTGCAGACTGACAAACAAACTTGTTAGGCGATCTGGAAGGCCCCAGTTGGGTAGTGCCGCATCACGGAAGCTCGGGACAGAGTCAGGCATGGCAGTTGAGTGGGCAGCAGCATAGCTGCCTGATGTTGACCTTGGGATAGGAGGGCGGCGACATAGCTGCTTTGGGTTGTCCTTTGGACAGGAGGGTAGAGCCCTCAGTGCTCCGCCATAGCCTCGGCCTGCATGACGAGGAAGAGGAAGGGTGGCCATGGCTATGGTGGACCTCATGTTGTGCCTGCAGTAGAAGTGGGATTCGGACATTGATTCTGGTTCAGCCATTCAACACTATTATTGTTATTCCTTGTTTGAATAAGAGGGGAGGAGATAAGGAGGAGGAGATTGGTTGGTGAAGAAGAAGAGCATTATCTTTGGTATATGCTGGAGTACACCATCTTCTTCTTCTTCTTCTTCTTTCCCTCTCTCTCCTCTCAAGTTCATTCATTTATTTTTGCAATTGGATGGCATTGTACTTTCTGATGAATGTATACTTCAAAATTGGCCAGGATCGTAAACAGCTCATAGAATGCCACTTCTACAGCTGATGAGCTATATCAATCAAATGCTGATGTGGCATCCAGTAAAATATCATTATGTACAGGATGGCCCCTTGATCGCACCCCGTCAGCAGCCGGGAGAGACTTAACTCAGTTAGTAGGAAAAAATGGCTCCAATCATGCCGACTCAAGGCACGACGTGGGCTACACCGGCCAACTCAGCAACAATGGGCACTAGACACACCACGTCAGCAACTTAAAGGCTGCAGAAACAAATAGAAGGCAAGTGTTGTCCCAGAAGAATCCCCGTCTTCATGCCAGAAGTTGTGCATTCAAATCCCATTTTCAAGGCTGTCTACGCCAAACGATTGATTAAAAAAACATGGGGCCCATCCAGGCCATGCCAACAGCCTATAGTTCGGACCATCCGATCAAAGGCCGCATGGAGAGTGCTGGGTCAGCAGCGAGGTGGCCTGTACCCTTCAGCAGAGGACAATCTGGGGCCTTGATCAGGACACATCGGCAGCCTAGCGGCTTTTCCAACGATTCAAACACACACATAGGCTCAGAGATTGCAAAGTCGGCAGCCACGTGGGCTGCAGCAGCCTCTAGAGGAGAAGCTGGGACCCAAACAATGCTAGCCCACCAATGAGATCGGCACTGCAACCAGAGATATAAGCAAGAGGGCAAAGAACACTGTGGGTGCAAGGTCACACCACGTCAGCAGCAGACACTGATAAACCCTCTCACCAGTGGGTGCCCAAACTACATCAACCCATGGCCATTAAACCACCACTACCTTTCCCGCTGTTGGGAGAACGGGAAAATAGCCTACTCCTAAAAGATCGGAGGCTGGGCTGGACGACAGCCGCCGTTGATAAATCTAATCGGCTGCGATCGTTTCGTTTTGGCCTCCTGAAAACTGGAGTCCCACCCAAGGCCGACAACATGGGAAACAGTAGTGGTGCTTTGAACGAAACAAATCTTATCTCAATTGGAGGTGTTAACATGCATGCATGCCTCCCCACCAGTAGATTGGAGCTCTTTTGTTCAAAAAAATAAAAATTAAATTATTAAAATTAAAAAAAAGCATTAATGCCAAGAGCCGGGCCCCATTCTGGTAGACATAGAAGCACATGTAAATACGGAGTAAAGCAGCTGGCCATGTCTCAATGGGCAATAAGGATCCAAACCAGGGGTTTGAATCCCCACTCTGAAAGAAAGTGAATGCACCTTGGTGCACACAATGCAGCAACTAGACAGTACAACTGCGAAAATAGCCCCCAGAGGGGCGCAGACTTATTGTTGGGTTGCAAACGGGCTTATTACAGTGGCAAAGGCATGAACCTGCACGCAAATAGAGGCCAGGTTCATGCATTCAACACTATGTGAGACCCACCATGTTTGCCGGGGGGACACCATACACATGAGGGTCTGGCAAAAGGTCAGTCACCCACCATAAGCATCGGGATTACTCCGAGGTACCTCTGCACAAACTTCTTCCATTCCGGTGTCAACTGTGCGACCACCTCATTGAAACCATGTTCCTTGCGAAGGGCGTCCACTTTCTCTTTCGCCAGCCCGCACAACTCCATGCCTGTCTCGAAGCGCACGGTCGATACTGGAGAGGTTGGTTTCGCAAACCGCTTCATTGCCAGTGCACGTGAACGGCGCATGCCCTCTTTGACACTGTATTTCTGTGAATTTGGACTATCAGGTGCATCTGTTTGCTTTTTGAAAAAACTGCTTCGCTTCCCTTCAGAGCGAGGCGAACTTCTCCCACTCGATGTGCTTGGCACGCCTTTTTTCTTCCTCTCGCCTTTCAAAGCTTTCACCAGGTGATGCTTTATCCCAACACTGCCTCCGAATATTTCACCAGCATAAGGACTGGTGAAGCTATCACTCTTCGGGGAAGGAGCCTCGTCTTCTTTGCCTGTTTTGGTGTCCGATGATGAGCTCTGCAGCTCTGTCATACTGGCAGTCTCCCTGATATTCAGAAGGCACTGAATGGCAGCCGATTCTTCCAGTTTCCCCAGCTTATTTTCGCTTGATTCCCCCTCCATGTTGCCTTTGCCTTCCATGATTGGAATCCGTAGATTCCAGAGAATGTTAAATGCTACCTGCACTTTCTACTCATACATGGCACCATCTGCAACGGTGAAGTTTGCCAGCATGGCACCATACCAAGACTTTGGGTTTGCAGTGTCATGCACCGATATACATTATCTGACGCATGCTTCACCACAAAATCGTATGCCATGGGAAGGGAAACAGATGGGCATGATGAAAGCTAGGGGGCCAGAGGCAGCTGCCCAGTGTCAGAGGCCTGTTACGTCAACTTTGGCCTGCTTTGTTCTCTTTTTTCAGAGAGTCCGTGATAACCTCCGGCATCATGACCCAAGGATGCATGTCCAAACCAAGAATCGAACACACGACCTACGCGGCTTGTCAGGCATAGCCTAAGGAATCAAACAGCTTTGAACATGCGGCTGTTGTTGCATCCCTCTCTGGCCAGTATACCGTCACAGGAAAAGAGAGTATGAACTGGTGGGACTGTGGGAGACTATGAAATTGTGGGTCACAAAATCCACATAATGACAGTCATATACTGCCATAAAATCAGACCCCAGGGTTGGAGCACAAAGCCTCAAGGTTGTAGACACACACGGATGGACACAGTTGCAGCCCCAACCAGCAAGTCCACGAGGAGGGTGCAGACTATTGAGATTTACACGAAACCCCAAAGCGCTGTTGATGCAGTTCATTTTTTTTTGCTGCACCTAGCTGCACAGAGCAGAATGCAGACAACACAAAGCCACAGTGAGAGTTAAAAAAAACTCGGTAGAACTTGACACCCTCCGAGAGACACAATAATGTTGACGGTTAGCTCGCTTTACCGTGACACATTGCAAGACCACACAACAGCAGACAAGCAAATGCAATGCCAGAATCCAAGGAGCCTTGCAGACAAATGATTTGGTTCCACAGCAGTGGTGGTTTAATTAGAAAACTCCTAGTACTGGGTGCCGTGTGATGCAACTAGAGTATTTTTCCTCCCTTTCGGAGGAAACCTGACTACAACCCTGACTGCACCTTACTACCGATCTCCATTGGTACCATGCTGGTTGGTACCATCTTTGTTGGTACCACCCTGGTGGATTGTCCTTAGTTGGTACCATCTTTGTTGGTACCACCCTGGTTGGTACCATCCTGGTGGAACGTCCTTACGACCAACCAGGATTGGTCCTTCACAGCAGCAAGCTCTGCCTTCTCGGCCAGACAGGAATGAATTTCCAATGTGTGTGGCCATATTTGACGTCAGATTCGTGCTTATAGGCCATATTTTAGCACTCACCCCAGAAATCTTGTGAATCCAGGCTACATAAGGTGAATGGGATCCCGACATGTCATTAGGGTTTTGGGTTTGGGGTTTGGGGTTTGGGGTTTGGGTTTGGGGTTCGGGTTTCGGGGTTTAGAGTTCGCAGATCTGCATTTAGGGTTTAGCATTCTGGTTTTGGGATTTAGGGTTTCTGACCCCTGAGATGCTTCACGGGCCTGTCCTTCAGGACATCCATTAAAATTGGAACAATACAGCGAAGATTAGCATGGCCCCTGCACAAGGATGCACGCATTGAAAAAGAAAAAAAAAACAAGGAAGATGTTTGATGGGCCCGCATGCCAAGAATGCAAGCCTGCCATACGCGCCCAATAACATGCAAACATGCCAAACCCGCATTGCACTTCTCATCCAAAGTGCTTTTTCCTGCCTCTGCACTTCTCATCCGAAAAGGGCTCCAAATTCACAACCCACTCTTTCGAAGTGGAATCAAGCGTGTGCCGCCCACCCAGGTATGCCTCCACTCCAAACCCGCCTTATCCCGATAGGACGTTCAGTTCGCTACTGGTATACTTCACACCGAGTATGTTCATCATACCGGGCATCAGAGCGTGAATGCATTGGGTTACTCGGTCTCTTTGTCCTTCTCCCACCTCAGCCATCGTTAGTGTTTAGGACACATAGCATGCTCTGTGTCCTTGTCCTTCTCCCACCTCAGCCATCATTAGTGTTTAGGACACATAGCATGCTCTGTGTCCTTACTCCTAACACAGGATTCTATCCAGACATGATATCCATGCATGCTATGCGAACATTCTATCCAAAGATGCTATGCGAACATGCTATCCAAGCACGCTATGCGAACATGCTATTCAAGCATGCTATGTGAACATGCTATCCAAACATGCTAAGCGAGCATGCTATCCAAGCAAGCTATGCAAACATGATATCCAAACATGCTATGTGATAGCATATTCGCATAGTGCAGGAGGAGAAGGAATTGGTTGCAAGGGGACGCGGTACGCTACGCTTTTGATGGTAGATGATCAAACATTTGACACGGGATGCTCCACTCGTGGTTAAGAGGTGGTGTAATTTTCGGCGAATTTTTCACCGAAACTGGCATATTTCCCTGAATTTTTGCTTTTCAGTTTCGGCGTATTTGGACGAGTAACGAAAAAGTTGGCAAAAACACCGAATTCGGGAAACGTTTTGGCGAACTGCGAAAGCTACTTTGAATAGGTTTTTATAGTGCTGTTCAAAAAAAAAAAAATCCGTTTTTTTTGCCTGTTTTTTTTTTTTTTTAATGTTTGTATTATGAGCCTGCATAGTTTGTTTGCAAAAGTTTTGACGACATTGCTTGCAGTGATGCGGCGAAAACCCCCGAATTTTGGGCCTTCCATTAACCGCGTGTCAGATCTGGCGGTAATTGCGGTCGCATACATGCCACAAAGTCCTGGTGTGAGTATCCAATATCATGTGTCCCGATGGACCACCTTGGATCAGATATTAAACTGATCAGAACAGATACTACATGATCTATTTTTAGCCTAAAGGCTGAGAAAGGTATAGGTGTGTGAGTATCTCCTTGAGCTACGGTAATAAAATGAATCCAAGGGAACTAAGAGCATACTCACACTAGGGCTTTCTTGGATGTATATATGTCGGTTTTTCCAACCCGGCCTGGATGGATGCACCTTACTTCAATGACGTCCATAGAGAACTGGAAAAAGTCCTGTAGTCTGAGTGTGCCCTCAGAGAG